ACTTGCCATTTTCAGGGCGACATGTTAATTTCAACCAGAATTTGCAGACTGACATTAATTAAGTCACGGACCGACAGAGGGGTCAACGGAAGTGCTGAAAAACACTAACTCAGAATATGGTATCAACTACCTCTGTTACTTTTTCCCATAGCAGAAAAGACTGAGCTGCCTTACACGTCAAGCACAAAGTGACAGACATTAAACAGCAGTCTTTTAACATAAACCTACACCGAAAGGCTACGTAGAACATTGCGTCGTTAAGGGGTTTGTGTGTATTGATGCCAGGAAATAAATGAGGGGTCACAACGTTTCTGTCTCTTTCAGAAACTTCCAGGTTATAGAGAACAGAATTCATAATTGGAAATTAACATTCATTCCGCATCCGACCTTTGAATTAAGCAGTAACACAGCACACGCTTGTCTGCTACAGACTACGGTACGGATTCCACCACATTAAAATGTGAATCCCCCTCCAAACCTACTATTTGCAAAAGATAAAAAGGCCTGGGCGGGAGAGTAAATACTCTCCCCGACCTTGTCGGCGAAGCGTTCTGTAATATGGTAATTCTCCCACGATTTCAACTCACGTGCTATCAAAAATATATACACGGAATTGTAATGTATGAGATGTAATCAAGCAGACATACGCAGTCCTAATCAACAGGCTTACGACATGCATTGCTAAAGTATAACATGAAAAAGAAGCCTTTGATTTCACGTACAGGAACTAATAATGAATGTTAAATACATAGAACCTATTCCCAGATTCTGTTTGGTATGAGATATGTACGAAAAAGACAAAACTACAAATCATGATCTTGACAAAAATGAAAGAGGGAGGGGCTTCTTTTCATACGTGAAATGCGGCAGATGATAAGTGCACAACAAATAAATGTCAACAACAAACACACAGAAAGAATCGCTCAGACTTATCTTCTCTTTCGGGAAGGAAACAATGACAGACGTCTGTCCAGACTTGGCATGCGACGGGCGGATATGCTTTTGAAGAGTGTCTCTTATGACGAACGTTGCTGTTCTTCCAGAAGTTGCAGAACGGATAGCCTCACTCAAAATTATACGTTGTACACGGTTTTGAAATATCATATAAAATTAACGCGCCTCATTGGCTACTGACAAATTGCGAGAGATTATTCAATTGAAAATTATTACCTAAATTATAATTCATAACCAGTAATCAGCACATGCAACAAAGGTATAGGCCATTTTTTTTTCTTAAGGCTGATACTGCGAGAACATGGCGTGCTAAAAGAAATTTTAACTTCGATTTCTGAACTATAATTATCATAGGCCTCCTCATTATCTACCTCCTCTTCACAATCATCGTCCTCCCTACACTTTCCTCCTCTTTGTCATAGTCATCATAATCAGTCTCCTCATTACCTCCTTCATTTCCCTCAATTTCATCCTCATCTCACTTCCCCCTCTCCTCCTTTTCTGAACATGTCGTTACTCGGCGTTGATACTGTACTAATTTGCTTTCGATTGGGTCCACCTTAACTATTCTAGAATAGGCTTGTCATTATTTCTTCCACGGTCTAATAAACTACAGGCCTATCCAGTTGCGCTTTTCATGAATCTCATCTCTACGAACATCGCGGCCGAGTGGTTGGCATTCCGGGTCCAAATCTTGGCGCGGAGGCCGGCTGCTGTAACTGAGGTTTTCCGTAGTCATTCTCAATCCGCCCAGGCAGTCACTGGGATTCCTAATGTTAGGCCACGAACGCTTCCTTCCAATATCCTTTACATTCATTAATCATCCTATGATTCGACTGCATATAATCTTAACTACTGGCAACATCGTTAAATAAATACCACAAATAAATAATTCAGCTCTGCAAAATTATTATTCACACTAATCACATAAACAATTGCTGTTGTAATAACCGGCCTTACAACAAAAGAAATGGACGACAAATCAAAGAAAATTACTTAAAGCAGAAGATCCTGACATATTGACAAGGCAATAGAACCCACAGATTCTAAACTGCTAGCTAGCCCTTTATTCACAAGTGAATTGCTAACATCTACTTCACGAGGGATTGTCAAACCATCAGGTAACTGATTTAAAATGCAATAAAATATTTCAAGTACGGCAGACATTGCTTGTGATAGAATACGTCTTATGGAATTCTCTTGAAAGACATGGAATCCTAAATAAATGCAGTCAGGAAAGAAGAATAAAGAACAGTATTATTAAAACAATGTCACTCATTCGGAAATGTCGATCGACAGGCTGTGTAATGAATATTAGAACACATAGCGTACCAATTCAACATAACCCACGGCTTTAATGTTCCCTATTACTAAAGATTTCAAAAAAGCTGCAGAGCTTTATCGATTAGAAAATTAATTCAAGTTTTGCATATTAAGAAATAGGTCTGTATATATTTTTTCTTCTAAATACGTCTGAAAATACTGCACAAACTATAGAAATATAATGCAAACTTCATGGCCATAAATAATGAATACGTCTGCTATATTTCTGTACTTGAACACGTCATTCAGTACCTATAACGCTCGCTATCTGCAAGGCGCGCGTGGCTCCAATTGCAACATGGCAGCAAAGCGGCAACTTGCAATTTCGTTCCTCTAGAAATTGACACGTTCTTTTCTAATTCACGACAAATCTCATAACTTTAAAAGTTCTAAAGCTTTTTAATATGTCGAAGACTTACACACGATCTAGTTTTATTTTTTAGATATTCTCTAATACAATGACATAAAATTATCTTAAATCTACTATTTATATCACCTTCATGCACAGATACACATATATTTACCTACTACACTTGAACGAGTAAATAATGTGCAACCTTTCAACTTCGCGAGTGTTTAACAAAGACGTATTTGCCTTTCGATATTATTATAGTAGGGTTTAAGATACTAATGCAAGTTCATGAATATGTACCCAAACTGCGAATTAAATATTCTTCAGCTGACAAGAACTGGAGCTCCATGGCAACTGATAGTAATAATGTCTTCTCGGGAAATTGTGACACCGTTTCCTGATGGCAGAGAAAACGACGGTCTCCGAAACTTTAAACATTCGCTCAGAATTGACTTGGATGATCGCCCAGAGATTCCACCATTCTCCAGCACGAAGGAAACAGGACCTTTCTTCGGAAGGAG